TGCAAACAAAAATTTCATTTGCAGATAAATAATCATCGTAATATCTCAGATTGGAGTATGGAATCACGATAAATATTTAATTCTATCGATTTTTCAACAAAATCAAATCGAGGACGTACTTATTTTATTTTAATTATCATTAAATTATCATTTTCATGTTACCAAACGTAAGTAAATATTTGAAAGTATGTTACAAATATATAATATACAGTAAATTGAATTGTATAAATCGCTGACGATTATTACACTTAATATACCATATTTTTTATATTATAATTATAGAATGATTCATAAGTTCTTGCCATTTATGTAAATAGCTTCGAAAGTATAATAGTTGCTATTAAGGAAACTGATAAGAAATGTATGAAAAATTCATGACTATAATATAGCATCAGTATTTTTTTTTGCTATGTTGGCCTCTTAAGATAGTGGCTGACAACACGAATCTAATTATGTGCAAAAATTTCTTTTTTTTTTTTAATTTCATTCTACTTTACGTTATCGTTATTGTTATTTATTTCGATTAGATTTCATTTTCTGCTAGGTTCTCAGAGTGGATTCTTTTGAAACTTTTAAGAATGTATTGGTTGTAATTATTATTGGCTAGCGGGTTGTTTATTTCTTCTAATATCAATTCTTCCTTTATATTTGTCGTTCAATGTTAAAATAATTTCTACACTTTGTTGTATGCTAATTAGATCACACTACGTGCGAATCAATCGTTGTTATGTCGAAGAGCCATAATTGTTTACCATACTATACCCATAGACAGCAGGAGAACGTTTGATTCTTATTTACAAAAATCAATGGTTGACCAAGAACGGATTGATGTATTGTATAAATGGAATAAATCAAGCGAGTAGAACATAATTAACAAGCTAATTCACCGATCGATATGTTTATGAGGAATACGTTTGGATGCATTGAACTGAATAATAAACACCGGTTTGAGATTTGATTAGAAAATGTATCAAATGTTGACGAAGTCAGTGTGGATTTTATTTGTCAAATTGATTGTTTAAATATTTTAATCGTTTTCGATAAATGATAACATAATTGATTAATAATTATATAGGGATATGTTTATAATTGATTATTGTTATATATATTTATATATATATAATATTTAACCGAAGAAAAGTTTCGTCATGCTCTAAATGCTTTTTTTTTTTTTTTTCTTTTCCTTCTCGCCTTACTTTTTTTCATGGAAAATCTAAAGTGGTAATAAAGCTTGGTAACTCGAGTTTCGCGAACAGTTAGATCTCGTATTGCCAAAGGCTATCTCCTTCGACTTTTACTTATTTTATTTCATTCGTTTTATTTACTGCATGCCGCGTACACGAGAAACGTCTTCAAAAGGTAAACGTATATATATTATCAAAGAGTATATATATTATCAAATAATCTTATTGTTAGCGATATATGATTTTAAATAGAAAAAAAAGAAAGAGAAGAAGACAAATAAATAATGTCTGTTTCTAATAAAATTTCTTTATCGATATTTATATATGATATATTAGGTCGAGTCATAAATAACTTCCTCTTTTTATGAGACAAAAAATGGACGCTTTTCTGCGACTGATAAGTGCAAGACACCTTTCATGGAGTTTTTTTTTTTTTTGCACTCTTTGCAATTGTTCAACGTATCTATTGGATTTTGCTCCAATATTACCTTTAAAAGGTTCATCAAAGTTGGAAATACGTCCTGCACTCGGTTCATCTTTTAAGATCTTATCTCCAGAACGGAATTTTACAAACCAATTTCTGACTGTCCTATCAGTTATCARTCYTGCACTGTATAMRCTRYATATTTTTTCAGTTGCCACTTTAGTGCTATTGCCTTGTTTCAATTCCTAAAGCATTACACGTCGAATATGCACTTTTTACTATCCAATTTCAGTGGTTAAGAAAAACGGTTAAATGTAACATTGACTGCATAAAGAAACATGTGTGCAGATCACACGTGTTACAAGTGAAATCTTCGAAAACTAAGTTTCGAAAGAATGAGACGAATAGAAAATATCTGCTGTAGGATAATTGTATTCTCTTCTTATTTAGTATCGCGGCCGTTTCATTGCCTCCCACCGCTCCGTTACATCGCCGCCTAACCGTTTCGTTACATTTTTTCAAATTACACCCATTCTAAAGAAGTTTTTACTTCAAAAAGTTGACAGAAGACTAACTGAATCCTCATCTATACAGTGATATCGAAAAATAGTAGATAAATACGAAAAATAGATTCTACATAGACGCATCGGAAGTTACTTATGACTCGACCTAATATATTTACACATATATATATATATATATATATATAGGCGGCCCTCGACTTTCACATATTTTACTTTCGCACATTTCAAACCCATTTGCATCATGAATAGACATTTTTTATAAAAAAAAAAAAAAATAAATGGTATTCAACTAACTCTTGACAGCTTTATAAAGGAAACACCCAAAAGCCCTTAACACGACTCTTTAATTTCATTATGTATACATATTGATAGATAAATACTTTAAAACACAGTTTTTGGTGCAATTTTTTTACATTCCCTTACTGTCGAACATTCAACATATTCGCATACACTTTAAGGAACTAATTATGTGCAAAAGTTGATGGGCCTATTGTAATTTTTATATTTCTTACAATTGGATATAGTAATTGTTAAAAATAACAAACTATTTATTAATATTTGCAAAAATAATGTGAAGTGTTGAGTTTCAGGTAACAACTCACCGATTAACTTGTAGCTTCTTTCACTTCGACTGTCTTATGCTCGACTGTCAATTCCGTAATCCATGTTTCCCTGATCGCCATCAGAAAGCCTCGAAGTTTGTTTTCACTACGATGGCGTCAGATCGTTACAAAAAATGAACAAACGTTTTCCTCGAGACATAGATTTCTAATCTCGAAATAAAGTAAAATAAAAATATTCAATAAAGTCAACGATTGATACAATAATAATTGTTATATCTTAACATGAAAGAATATCTATTTAATTTTAACTATAATTTATTCATTTATATAAGATGAACCAATTGATACTTTAGTATCTGAAATTACTGTATTGTTTTTTTTTTTTTTTTTAAATATACGTCGAATGTTTTAAGTAAACATTTGAGCGATTCAATGGGGCTCATACAATATCAAAATATATTTTTATTTTTGTGTCATTATTTTGTAAAGATATCGAAGTCCTTTTTTTAACATTATTTTTCAAACAGATTTCATCATTTGTTGAAATACCTGCAATGATGGTTGTTTTTTTTCATTAAAAATTCATTGATTCTAATGGTAACATTATTCAAGGTCACAGATAAAAAAAACATAATAAGATTTAAAATACGGAAACAGGTTGCGTTTATCATGAGTGATATACTTGTGTTAAACACAAAATAAGTTAAATTATTTTTATGATAAACCAAATAATGTTAATTGGAATCAATGAAGTGAAAAATATTGGTCATTTTTTTGTTCAATATTTTTTCAATCCTCGTCATTCCTTCACGAAGTATGCATTCAATGTCATCGAAATTTTGGAGGACAAGGGTTAATACAAAAAAAAAATGTTCTACTTTCGTTTGACATTAGAATAGATTCGTTTGGATACACATCAACGATTGCAAACATTAGAAAAACGTTTAACGTTTAATTGTTTACCGCATTTGAAATTATTTGACGATTTTTCTATGTTATTACATTTGTTTTGACTTTCTAATTTAATAGAATAAATCTTGTAAATTCGTTTATTTCGATTATTTCCTAAAAATCATTTCTCTTTTTTGATTTAATTAATAATTAACACTTAGTCGACCAAACGCTCCCACAGAGTCCTCTACAATTTCCACCGCGCTCAGGAAAATCAAACTGCGCTCTCCACTGCGCATTTTTTTTTGAAGTAGGTAGTAGTTTTATATTTCTATTCGTTTGTTTATAAATGACTTGAAAGTACAAATAAAATGTTTCCCTAATTTGGTCGAAATCGTCTCGAGTTGCTGGTTAGCGCAATTGAAAAAGGCCTCGAGTACAAAGGATTAACAATGTCTTTATATATTTGTTAAGAATTTTAAATGTACGAATATAAAAATCGTATAAATAATTTATTAATATTATTATACTACTCTGTCTCTGTCTCTCTCTTTTATTATTCGTTGGTTAAAATATTCAAGAGTGGAGAGGTCAATGAATAATACAAAATGTTTTATATGTGTAATACAGAATGACAATTTTAAACGATAAGAAAGATAGACAACAAAATACCAATGGGAGGTGAGAAGTGGTTAATATACATACATATATCATTCGTATAAATAGATATGTACATATGCTTATATACACATATATGTGGGATTCGTGAAACAAATTGGATTTTGCTGGGACTGACTGGACCGGGGGGGGACTCGAACCACAGATTCTGTCGCTTTCCGGGCGACTGCACTTTTAACCAATTGAGCTATTCAAGGCCCATCCCACCAATCCTTCTCACGAATGCCCAATAAGTTTGGCATGAAGACACTCATCCCACATTCCCCCCCTCCTTAACAACATTTGATCCCGAATGTTATGCCACCTAACATCATCTCCTCTTTTTGTGGCGTCCTTCATCACCAACTTCGTCTTTAATTTTTTCTCGTGGCGTTGTAAGACAGTGGAACGTGTTACGAAACAGACCCTGCATCCCGGCTGAACCCTCATGTGTGGGACTCGTGAAAAAAATTGGACCACCTTGGGATTGACTGGACCGGGACTCGAACCACGGATCCTCCTGTCGCTTTCCGGGCGACTGCACTTTTAACCAACTGAGCTATTCAGAGCCCACCGACCAATCCTTCTCACGAATGCCTAATAAGAATGCGCCCATTGAGGCGCACGTCCCACATATATGTTTACATAACAATTTTTATTCAGAATATATTCTCTATTTTATTATATAATATTAATTTAAATTTGTTTATACAGATATTATTTAATGTGGCATTATTATCTAAAGATATTTCCTTATTTTCTAATATATGTATTTTTACCTAACTTAATATTAAATTTTTTCAGGTAATATTCCGTGCACAGATTTGATTCCTAATTCATTAATCTAAAAGTAAACAAAAAAAAATTATATTTTATTTTGATTAATAATATCTTTTGCTTAAACAACGAATTATTTGTACTATAATATTTATATGCTTAAAAGTATAATTTGTCTATATGCCAGATTATATACACGTATTATTTAAAAAAAAAAAAGAAAAAAACAAAATAGTACTTACTTCAACATTAATTGGACTGGCTAATACATAAATAATTCCATCGGTAATATTCTTTATTGATAACATTTCTATTTTGTCCAAAATTTCTGGTTTCAAATTGAAAACTTTAACCATATCAGTGTTCACAATACTAGGGCTGATATTCTGTTAATAAATAATAAACAATGATTCATTTTTCTTATTTAATATCGAATTAATAAATGTTGATTTTTATTTTTATATATTTATTTTAAATGTATAATACACAAAAGTAATTTTGTGTGTAATGATAAAAAAAAAGCAAACAAACAAACAAACAAATACAAATAAAAATAATAAGAATATTACCGAAATTTTAATGCTTAATTTATCATTCTGAATTTCATTACGAACACTATCGCACATTGCCCTTAAAGCATATTTACTGCATGGATATAAACTGAATGGCAATTTTATGTTTTGTGCATTATGGCCAGAAACGCTGCATAAATAAATAAAAAAAAGAAAATTTATTTTTAATAAATTCATAATACAAAGAGACATATAATAAGGTATACAATATAAACTTGCCCATTTGTCCTAATTACAATTATTAATAAAATAATATTACAAAAGTATATTTTATTTTTACCTGTTAATATTAATAATGTGTCCTTGATTTTTGGATTTAGACATTAATTTAACAGCTTCTCTTGTGCAAATAGCAATTGCGATCACATTAACGTCCATAATATTATGAAAGTTTTCTGTTTTGCCATCTGCAAAAAAAAAAAAGACGAATATCATCTCGATATCGATATATTTTTGTTATATTTTGTATAATACATTTTTACATTTAATCATTACATTCATTACATTAAATCATTTTTACATTAATAAAAAATATCATAGATATTATCAGATATAAAATTATTAGAAAAGTCAAATGTTATTAGTAATTGTCTTAACATTTAAATTACAATACAATGATAAATGACAGATAAAGATATATATATTTTATTAATATTATTAATTAAAGATATTAATATTTTATTAATTATTAAGTATTATTACACATGTATATATGAATATATATTATCAGAGTATTGTTTAGCCAAATATGTAAAAGGCATCTCACGTATTGTATATATATATATATATATATATATATATATTTTAATGATCAATTGCATGTAATATCAATAACAATTAACATTGTACTTTTAAACAAACCAAAAAAAAAAAATATTCCATCGACAAAAATCTAAATGAATAATTATATTCTTACGTATATTACATTGTAATTGCAATATCATATTAATTAATTGTCATAAAGACAAACGCATGTTTTAACAATAAGTCAAATATAATAACGTATCATAAAAACTTATGATTTATATTAACGTGAATAATAAACAAACAAAAAAAAAGAAAAAAAAAAATTATTCAATCATCAAGATAAAAATTACCTTACCAATGATTTTTTCATGAAAAATGACACCGGCATTGTTAATAAGAATATTAACTTCATCGTGTTCCTTTTGAATATATTTAAAAACATTTAAAATTTCTTCTTCATTCCTGAGATCACATTTCATAGGATAAATCGTGCCCGGTAAATTTAATGATTCCACTTTCGCTTTTAATTCCTCCAACTTGTGTAGTCTTCTTGCAATGGCAACGACCTTGAGATTATATCGTGCCAATTCTTCGGCAATTTTAGCACCAATCCCAGTACTTGCTCCTGTCACTAATGCAACTTTACCTGACCAACGTTCCATCTTTTTAAGACTTCTCACAGTTTCACGTTTAACGATGCCCGTTTCACTACTATCTTGAAGGCTTCTTCTCTCGCACTGCCTATTTAACGTTTCCCTTCCCTTCCCTTCCCTTCCCTTTCCATCCCTTCCCTTTCCTCCGTACGTCCCTTGAACCAATTATCGCGTCAGACCCAAACAACTTATGAGAAGAAAAAAAAGAACTGCTCGTTATAACTTGTTATTCCTTTTTCTTCTTCATACACATTTGTTGAAATATTACTTGATAAGTACATCATTTATGCTTATATATTTGAAATGTAATCAATGTCAATATATATATACATATATATACATATAACCTTTATAATAAGTATATGTATAACGATATTGTTTGTTGTTATTGTTTTGGTAAGCTAACGGGAAATGTTTCGTATATTTTCGAAACGAAAATCGGATAGAGAGGTCTCCGTGGTTTTAATGTAATTAGAATAAATAATTTAGAAATTTCGATAAGAATTGACGGAAGTGATTAGTGGACCTCTTCTTGTTTCGGTGCGACTAGTTATATTTGTTCTATACTTCTTTTAATCAAATTCTTTAAAAGTATCTTCTTCGATTTCTTTTATTAAGGCCGGCGATACGTGTAAAATAAACAACAACAAAAAATCGAATTTTTTATTTTCTATTTTTTTCATAAATAGTTAGTTTATCATCTTAAAAATATACCTGTAAATTTTTAGAATGAAATTACGTATTATTTATCGATTAGAAATTCATTTAAGTCGCTAGACGCGAACGCTAAACTTTGAACGCGTTTTTTTCGTAACGACTTGTTTTTCAAAATGTACTGAAAGATAACTCAAAAAGATTACAATTGATTCTAATGAAATTTAGCACACATTTTCTTTATAGTATTAGCTTTCAGTTGAACTTTAAAAATGTCACCAAAAATTTTCAAAAATTCCCACTTTTGACACAAAAACCCGTTAATAAAAAAAAGGGTAAAAAATCAGACTTTTTTTTTGTCTGAGTCGTGCCAATTTACGATTTTTTGACTTTTCAGTTTTTCCTTTGTTCAACTAGAAGATACATGTTTTATGAACACGCTTCGACCCTGTTTTTTTTTTTTTTTGTAATTTTACATTGCTGTAACTAAAGCTAAAAATCACCATGATTGATGCGTTTCGCCGCGAGGGCTTCAGAAGATTAGTTATTATGGCGGTCATTTTGAAAAACAAAAAAAAAGAAAAAAAATAAATTAGATTCTAATATTTTAATATGTAATGAATAAACCTGCTGAGTGTCAAAACGATTCATGTATTTCTTCCATTTTAAATAAATTTCTGAAAAACGATCAAAATTTAAGCGTTTACATGTATCGCCGGTCTTAACAACAATAATCAAATATTATTTTATTTTACGATGAAAATCTAATGATACCAGAGTTAATGAATTTAAAGCTCAAATATTTTCAGCTTTATCGCTGCTTCTTAACTAGATGGCACTTCAATCGAAATTATATAATGTGGTCAAATTTAACGCTCAAATTTAACGTCAAGCGTCAGCATGAAATCGCACCTTTAGGATTGATTGAATGTTCTGTTTTAATATTTATATAATAAATATTATTAATGATATTATAATTATTAATTATATTATATTATAATATTTATATAATAAATATTATATAATTAATATTATTAATTCATATAATATTTATATATATATATATATATATATATATATTTAATTTAATATGTTAAATTTATATTTATCATCAATTTGAATACACAGAAAAAGTTTGTTTTGTTACATCTTCTCATTCTGATTCTCTTTAAAATTTGCTTTCCTTATCATTTATCTTTTCTTCGAAAATATCACGCGATATTAACAAATACAACCTGACTCAGTGTTCATTTTTTCATAAAATCGAAAAAAAAAATATATTAAAACGATTAACTTATTTTTGTTTATTAATAATCAACGACAATTAATTTATACTTCAATGTAGAATTTATCAATATGACTGATAATTAATTAAACTCAAGTTAAATACAATGTAATTTTGTACATTGTAATAAATAGATAATTAAAAAAACAAAATAACAAGATGATAAATCATTCAGAAGAATACTGGATGAAGATAAAGAAGATTAATATGAAATATATAAGATAGTAATAATTAAACAAACTGAGTATATATAAAAAAGAAAACATTATAGAATATCGAATATATATAAGATGCATCATTGTACATTTCTTAAAAATAATATTAATAAATTAATAATTAGACTACGGACATTTGTGCTTATGAAAAATATTAAAATATACATTTATGATAATGTGTAGAAATAATTTGTTATCTTGTTTGATGTATGATATCTTTACCTGTTTCTTATTTTAAAATATTCATGTACCTAAATATTTATATATATTGAGTGAGAACAAAAAAATATAATATTAACTTAGATTATTGAATAAATTCATCGAAAAGTTTTGTTAACAAAAGTTTTGAAACAACATTAATGATGTTTTAAAATATCATATTACAATGCTGCGGGAAATATCCGATAATTTTGGATTAACCTTTTTATTTTTTTTTTTTGAAAAAAAAACCGATTTATTCCTTTTAAAAAATCCAGTCTGTAATATTTTGTCTATGTTCTTTTACATAAGATATGTAACTAATTTTCATATGTATCAATTAGCATATATTCTAACGTTGGTAACGCGTACCTGTAGATGACATTTAATAGTGTTGCCATTTTTTCAGCGTAAAATGAAACTTGAAAAATATTGGATGACTCTTATGAGCGATAGGTTTACAGATAAGATTAGTTAATATAACACTCCATAAACCACCGTAGTCTTTTTTACGTTGCGCAGCTGTTAAGATTTATGTCTTAGATGCTTATAGCGCAGGGCTGTCCAATTTGTGGTACTGTAGTCAGAAAAAACCCAGTGTTGTAATAACTAAAACTCGATGTAAACAAAATCGTAAACATTCTCAAAGCACAATACATTATATTTGATTTACTTAATTATTTTGTTTAATAATTATCGTTAGAATTTCATCAGAACTGAGATAAATGTGATACAACGAGCGGAAAAGGTTATATGTATTTCATATTAAAATAAAATGGCAACAGAGTTACTAGTATCTTGATCGGAAAAATGAAAAATATATTTTTCTTTAAATGAACATTTGTTCAGTCAGTTCTAAGTACTCGTATGATCACATTAAAATAAATCGATGTAATGGTCCAAGTTGTCAAATGCATATAATCAATTTGATAGAAAATCTCGATGTTTTTCATAGATGAATCTCGTCAATTACTAAAGCAGAAAAATTCGAACGAACACGATCATGTCGTGTCAGAATCCTATTGGTTTGGTATCGATCGACGTATAGAGAGTTATCAAGGTAGTTTGTTCGAACGTCAATCTTTCGGGTTAGCACGAGTACCCTCGAGATTGCACGACCGTCCTTCCATCTCGATTGGAAAAACGTTGAGTATGTGTATATATATATATATATGTATGTACGTTCAATTAATCATTATTAATTTCGTTAAATTAAAATTATTAATAAACATAACACACTTTAAAAAGAAAATCTTGCAATTCAAGTGCATCTTTACATCCAACAGATGCGAATTATAATTTTGTTAGTGGTACCTTTGATTTATTCAAAAGAAATAAAAAAGAAGAAGAAGAAAATGTAAAAACTGAAGCTTCGTTAAGAAGAAAATAAATAAGAGTGATTGAGAGAGAAAGAGAGAGAGAGAAAGAGAGAGAGGACGAGTGTGTCATCGTAGTTGCAATGAAAAGGTAGAAGACCTGCCGAAGGTTACCGAATATTGCCGAAGATAGAAGAAACTTGCCATGAAGGGTTCTTCAAGATGGCACCATCAGCGATATTTAGAACCTTCTCTGTCTCTCTATTTCTCATTCACTCGTACCGTTCTTCCTTCGTCTACCTTTCACTCTTTTATCCTTTCTTTCTTTCTTTCTTTCTTTCTTTCTTTCTTTCTCCTTATACTTTCGTTCTTTAGCGACCTCGAATGATACCTCAACCTTTTTACACCTCAAAACCCGATAACCTACATTTCGCATTTGTGGCCAAAAGACTTCGAGATAAAAATGTCTCTTTAATGCTCATACACCCAAGAGAGAGAGAGAGAGAGAACTATGCTTTTGCGCCTATAATCCTTTTTATTTGATTATTTTTCTCTACATTTCTTCGTATTTTTCTATTTTTTTTTTTTTGCAACTTTAAGATATATACCCGTGCGAAATATTTATTCACTTTTGTTGAATCTTGATAATCGATTTTTAATCGATTAACAAAATTCTCGTCGATGAGGAAAAATTTGTCAAAAATGTCTCATTTAGAATCGTCATTTATTTTTATCTGGTTTTATTTTTCAACCTTTTATTTTTGATAATAAATCTCATCTTTTTATTCCTTCGTAGTAATCGATTCTTCTTCTTTTTTTTTTTTTTTTTTTTTTTTTCAAATGTAAACAATGACGATAAAAAGAACCAACATTTTTTTTTTAATCTACCACCGAAATTTTTAAATTATAAGCATGTAGTTACACACACACACACACACACACACATAGTAGGTTTTATGTAGAAAATAAACGAAGGTTTCTCTTTTTATGAATATGAAAGAAATGTTGTGCAGGTGTGTGTGCAATATATATATATATATAGGCATTTGCAAAGCCGACTTTAATTTGCAATGTTTCATATTTGCCCCGAGGAGGATGCGAATCTAGCGACTTATTTGAGATTTTTTTTTTGGTTGTTACGATTACCGTTTTCTCGTCGTTGTCGTCGTCTTCATCGTCTTCTTCTTTCTTTCTTTCTTTCTTTCTTTGAACGAACGATTAGAATATATTAGAATATATTAGAATATATTATTATTTTCGATAAATAAAAGATAGTTTTATATTTTATTATATTATAAATAATTATATTATATTATAATAATATAATATATAACCATAATACTCCAGTTGCATTGTTGATATTTCTACTTATCGCTTTTTTACGTTACAGCGCGCCGACAGTTGAATTTTGGGCCTGACGAGAAACTCAACCGAAACAGGCTGGCCGACGAACGTGTTAAAGGATCGTTCAACTCTATTTTTATGTTCGTATCTCGTGGTGTTTTTATTCTTAAATGTCTATAGTTGTTGTTATATTATTATGAGAACAAAATGAAATTGTTTGAAGGCACAAATATAATGACTGAAATTTCGAATAATTTGTTCTTACGTAGAAATATAAATTCGTTAGAAAAATTATGGACAATTGAATGCAACTGCAAAGATAGAAGATTAAATATAAAGTGTTTGTAAACATTCGTTGATTCATCGGTTTACTATTGATCACGTTTTATAATTAAAATATTTAAAAAAAAAAAAAAAAGCACACAGATTTATTTGATCATAGGAATAAAATCAATTAAAAACACGTCTTACCCCATTAGTTTACTCGACAAGATTACGAACGAAAAGAACTTTCGTCGACTACCTTCTAAAGACGACTGAAATGATCTAACGATATTTCTATACATATGTTTACTTTCTTCTCTCTTACCTGAGTAAAATGTAAACACTCAAGACAGGTACAGTTTTGCCGTTCTATGGTAAACAAGTCGAATTCAACTCATATCTCGTAAGAATATTATTTTACTTAAACATTTTTCAACGACATTACAAATTTATTACTTATAATTATTAATTATAGTAATTAATTATCCTATGTTTTTTACAAACACATCAAATTGAATTGTACCTGTTATTATGAAAGTTATCTAAGTCATGTATCTCTTGTTTCGAGATATTTAATGGATTACATTTGAACACTAAATGAATTCTATAAAATATTGAGATAACAAACACTATCTAACGATTCATTTTTCACAATAACGTTTTCAAATTACATTGAATTTATTTAATTTAAAATAATGTGGTGATTAATAACTGATAAACTTATTTTTTTTTTTTTTCATTTTGACTTTAACCATTTTCATAATTATGGGCACAATTATTTTTATTCTGGTGTTGTCTAATAGTTTATTATCAAATCAAACGTGGATTTTTCATAAACAGCCGATATAATATTTTCTTAATTTTATTTAATATTTAATCTAATTATTAATATTAATTATGTGTATATTACTTTTACGAATTACTTGTACTCTCATAATCGTTGATGATGAGAGATCAGATGAAAAATCTCTTTTATACGATTGATTAATTGTTTTTATAAGTTTATTAATATTTAAATAAATCTTTATTAATAATTAATTGTTTCACTTGTTTCAATAACATTTGATTAATATTTAAACAATTTACAATAACCCAATTACCTTTTGAGAATCAGATAAAAAATGGAATTCAATCAAAAAGCCAACCAGCGCTATCTGGGAAACAAATCAATTCTTTTTTTTTTATTTTTTTTTGTAAATAAAAATGTAAATAAACATTTATGTTCCAGATTAAATGAATAATTAAAATAAAAAAAAAAAAAAAAACGTGTCTTATATAAGAAAAACTATATAATAACAGAGATAATCTTACTATGTTATGGTGTTCTGAAACTTTCGTATGGATTAATGTTGAACGTAACATTAATTGACTTTTTAATAATCTACTTTACAATGTGTCCTTGAAATGTTTGCAAAAGAAAAATTAGCCCATAAAATGAAGAGAGAAGTTGGACAGGACATCAGATTATTCGTATTTTTTTGGTCGAAAAACAATCGATTTGAATGAGAAAATTTGGGTCATGTATTACTATAGAAAATGCATTCATTCGTCATGGATAGAGATCTCCACCAATGGGATGGATTCCCTGTTACGTAGAGATTCTGTACATCAAATGTTTGTTCATAGATTACGAGTTTTCTTCTATCAGTTTGTGGTTTTTCTTCTCAACCTCTAGGAAAATGGATATTAATTACTAACCGGAGCACGGAGAAATTTCCTTTAATCGATTCCATCCCACAAAAGTGGCACGAATCATTGTCGTGGTGTTATCTATATACGTGATACGTAGGTAGATGGAATTTTTTTTTTTTTTTCAAGAGATATCCTTTGTCATCTTGAAATTGAAAAGAATTTCAAATTCGTAGTATCAAAAAAAAAAAACAGAAAGAAAGAAAGAAAAATCATTTTTCATAATCTTATCTTATCTTAATATATATACATTACGTGTGACGTTGTTTGTCCGCAATGAACTCTCAAACTACCAAACCGATTTGAATCAAATTTGTGCACATTGTATGCAGTTTCATTCAACTTGAAAGATAGAATAGTTTATATTTGAATTTATAATCGCAATAAGGCGGTATAAGGTAATTCGTTGACTTAAAGACGTGTGTATCGAACTGACTTGTGAGCCACAGCAACGCGTGGTGGGACACTCCTAGTAATTAATAAGAAGAAAAAGAAAAAAAAGACAAATATGAAAGAGTGATCAAAAAATTTCGTTCAAGATAATTTGCAAATGGCACAATAACAAAATCTTGATTTTATTTATCTCTCTTTTAGGGAATTTTTCTGCTCGTTATGAATTCTCGAATAGACGGAAGTATTGTTTATTCGACTTGAATGAAATCGTTGGAATCAACCTCACGAAGAAGGGACATAACTACGGACACTAACCAGAGATTTATTCGGTGAAAGTAAGATAAGAAGATATAAATATATATATATATATATGTATACATATATAGATTGCAATTGAAAGAGAGAGAGAGAGAAAAAGAGAAGGGGGTAGAGGGTGGGGTGGGGTGGGGAGGTTGAAAAGAAGAAAGGAAAAGAGAAGACTGCATTGTTGACAATGCATTAAAGGAATCTTCGAGGATTCTAGGATTCTCCATTGAAGTCTTTGGGTTTTTGCAAAGGAGACGTTTTACAATAGGCTTATCGATATCGAACTCTTGGAGAGGTTATTAAAATCCTCGACGATCACCTCGGATGCGGCGTTTCGTTGGTATAAATAAAGAAAAAAAAAGAAAAGCTGCATAAAAAAAGTGGTCGGTGTTATAAGGCACGGATGAATGATTATTTTCGTCAAAAGTTATAGATGATATTTAATATGTCGATACGAATGAAAAAAAAAAAAAATGAATTAAATAATTAAATCATTTTTACGTCAAATTTCACGAATTCGATATTTGTCTTTCAAATATCAAATCTTTCAAATCCAAGAAACATTAGGTGGATAAAGGTAACAAATAAAATTAGAAATTTTGATCGTATCTAAAATATAATAATCAATATAATATTTTTATTGGTGAATTATTAACTTAGAATGAAACTAAATAATGTTATTGTGTATGATATATATATATATATAGGAATTATTAGGATTTTTAGGGAAATTTTCGTCAGGCCACAGGCGTTGCTTTGTATTGAAAGTATAGTTAAACGTCAGTCACTGATGACTGACGTGGCCTAAAGAAAAAGTCGTACTTTGTAAAAATTCAAAGTCGATTTTTTTTTTCGAAAACAAAGCCTCAAACGAAAAATCACCCCCTTTTCGCATGTACCATCATTTACAGATCACCCTGTATAATGAAATTTAGATAATAATCGATATAATATTGAATTTTTCGATAAATTTCTCGTTGAATCGTTGACCCTTTTTTTGTTTTTGGTAATTATTTTTAATTGTTTTCTTATTTTCCAAATTTGTCTTCCTCTTTCTATTCTGATGAAAGAAAATTTGATTTAATAGCAATCACACAAAACTGGAATGATAAATCTGAACCGTATAGTAAGAATGAAAACGGCTTGATGTTTGGTGGGGAGTCTTGGATAGCAAGAGTGGTTAGCAGCGACGAGGGGGTTGAAACTACCACCTTTCTCGTCAGCTGTCTTCCACGAAGCAGCCAGTACGCGTCGTGGCTCGGCCACGTGCTTTTCGTGCTTATCATACTCACTCTACGTCAATTGGTTATTGTTGTTGTTGTTGTTGTTGTTATTGTTATTGTTGTTGTTGCTCTCTGTCCTTTTTTATCATTAAATAAAACAAAAATTTTTACCTTATTATTATTATTATTATTTATTAAATTGATTTATTTCATTATTGTTCATTTATTATCGTCAACTTTGATTATTATTTTTATGTTTTATTTTTTCTTTCCATTCTTCTTCTTTTTCTTTTTACTTAACTCGATGATCATCAAATGTAACATTCTTCATTAAATTCAATATTCAACATGTTATTGAAATTTATTAATCTATGGGATTTGTCGGAAGAAAAAATTCCATGGAATTTTTATATAATTATGTTAACCATCGTAATCGTTCGATCATCGTGACCATATATGGCATTCAAGGATCAATCGATTAATTTAACGCAGATTTGAGCGGTAAGTTATTATTTTAAAATCAAACTAATTAATATTATTATATGATACATATATATATATATATATTATAAATTATTAAATATAATTGTTTAACAAATTTTATTACAGATATATTATTTATTATATCTAAAAATGTGATATATATATATAACATTGTTTGTGATTATTATTATTATAATATTTTTTAAATAAATTTTAAACTCTAAATTTTTTGTTTCTTCATTTAATAATTAAAATTTATTAATTATGATTAATAAATAAATGTTATACAGGTTGAAAGGTATGTTAAAAAAAAAATGAAGTTATTTACGGTAGTCAATGTTGTATACTTTAATAAAGCTAGTAACAAAAGGGAAGCTTATGTAATTATCATGTTAATAGAATTGCATATAAAATAATTCAACGAGAGAGAGAGAGAGAGAGAGTTAAAGAGAATCTAAAGAAGCTTCTTAACACCATAGTTAAATAATTTGTTGCACGCAAGTTTTATATCAAGATCGTTATGAGAGAAAATATGTTGTACCACCCCATTCGAGTCATTCGAATTCTCTCGAGTATTTATCGAAAAATTAAATGTGAGTTCGCATCTTTAACAAGGGGAAGAAATAAAAAAAAAAAGAAAAAATTTCTAAACGAAATTCGATCGAAAGTTCAATTCGTCTAAAAAAGCAAAGATGGATTTCAACTATACCTTTTTTTTTTTTTTTTTGAAAAGAAAACAAATATTTCTCTTAGTTTTTCTAGAATAATAATAATAATAATACGTATGTGGTTTCCATTTTTGTAATTGAAACGTTTCAATTTATAGCAAAGTGAAACAAGTTTCGGTAAAAAAAAAAAAAGAAGTATTTTTTTATATAAAATTTGTGTGTAATTTTGAACGATGGAAAAAAAGAAACAATCGTTTTTAATTTTATCGAATTTACAAGAAAATTAAATACAGTTTAGTCGCGTGTAAGATATATTATATATATATATATAGACGTACAATAGCAAACTTGTTTCATTTAGTAAGTTTTATTTCTCGTTGGAAATTATTTTCTTTTTCTTCTTCTTCTTCTTCATCTTCTTCATCTTCTTCTTTTTCTTCTTTTTCTTCTTATTCCATTTTTTCTTTCATTGAGAAATACGTCACCGTTATTTTGTAAGATCTTATTACCGATCTTGAACAAGCTTTTTCACGAGATAATTAGTTTTCCATTATGAAAAGTACGAAATTCTAAGTGAATAATAATTAGATTTTATTGAACAGTTTACAATTATATCAAATGAACGTATCAATCTGATTTCTAAAGAAATTTTCACGTTAAAAAAGCCACAGCAACGTATGGTCGGGGCACCCCTAGTTACATATATAAATATATATATATATATATATATATGTAGATATACAGTTACTTGTATTTTTATCTTCATTTATTGCATATCTTGTATATCTTGTTAGAATTTATTTTTTCTACAAAAAAAAAAGATTTACAAGCAAAATCTGATGCCAAGGATCGAGATGTATGTAATTCTAAGTCAAGAGTTAAATTATCATGAAATGTATAAGCGTATATACGTGAGATAAAAAAAAAAAAAAAAAAAAAAAAAATAAGAAGAAAAAGAAGAAAAAGAAGAAAAATATTGAAAAAAAAAAAAAAATATTGAAAAAGTTATGCATTAAGTGCTTTGTTTTATCTCTTCTTTCAAAGATCGTTGAGCATTCAGCACGGTAATGGTAAATACGACCACTCGACATCGTCGTTTTTAAATTGTAGGGCACCATTAAAAAGGGTGTAGGTTAACGAGAATCGCCTGCAATAATATTCTTCTTCTTCTTTCTTCTTCTTCTTTCTATTTTTTTCTCTCTCTCTCTCTCTCTCTCTTCTTTTTTTCTCTTTTTTTTTTTCACATTACCACAAGCCACTTACAATATCGGTCAGCACGTTGATACGAGCACTCGGACAACGCTTCAAAAGATTTTGAGAAATTTAATTTTCATTCTAAAGTTAAGTAATAATAACACGAAATGCAAATGAACATTCTAATCAACATGAAGTATCATTTGAAATGTTTGTATAATGCGATTAATGCGCGTTACGTTTTATAAGAGATTTGTTATTATAATACGAAAATTTGTCTGAGTAATGTAACATTGTACAATTTGATTATTGTTCTTTATTTATTATTCTTCGAAATAATGAACAATTTTTTTTTTTTATTCTGATAAAATGTGTGTTACATATTAATATAAAAAAAAGAACTATCGTTGGTAATGTAATGATAAAAAAATAAAAAAAAAAAAAATAAAAATAAATGACTTTATTTTAACATAATATTATTTAACACATTGATACGAAGGAAATTTTGTTAAATAAATAAATAATAATAATAGCATAATCTTTGACGCGTTATTAGAAATTCGTACTTGTTTGAGCTCACCTTATACGAGAATCTATCGTCTAATCATCTATTGCAAAGGTTCAGCAACCTTTTGAATCGGAACAGCCAAAAATTACAATTAACAAAATTTCCAAGTTTTTTTTTCAAGAGCCACAAAATTTGTCCCTTTGCCAACAATAAATAGTACTCGCGTCATAAATAAATAAATAAATAAATAAATAAAAAACTAATCACTAATCAATTTATTCTCATCGTTGCCTAATCCTCAACGATTTACTAAACTTTTTTAACTAAAGAGCTGCAGCTTTGCATCCAAAGAGCCGCATGTGGCTCGCTAATGGTCTATTCATTATAAATTACACGTAGTACTTCTATCACTTAGTTTGTCTATAAAATCGTTAATAATTAATAAGAAAGAAAGAAAAACAAAAAACAGAGAAAAAAGGAATATTTTATTATTGTTAGGTTGTAGAGTTTATTAAATAATAAGCTTACGAGATAGATGAAAGGATAAAAACGATTAGGTTGAGAATTAATGAATAAATCAAAAGATGATCGTATCCTTTATTCGAGTAGGGCAGCAAGCACATCGAATTAATTTAATATACCTTGAGGCGTTAACCTGTTTCACAATTTTGGTTTTTCTCCTATGAATTCATTCGAAAATGTTCACGTGAATAATATTGCTAGATTTTTCTTTCCATTCATTCGTGGGAAGTAACAACGAAAGAAAATCAGAAAGAAATAAATGTTAGAAAATAAGATATATATATAAGGGAAGAAAATGAAGGGTGTTATCACACAACCAAATGGTTCCTTCTACGCACGTGTAATTGAAATTGACTGAGAGACGAGGATAAATTGAAAGTCTGAAAAAGCAAAGAAAATGAATTGCTTTCGTTCTTTCTTTTTTTTTAAAGACACCAAAAGCAAAAGTTTCACCATCTTCTTCTTCTTCTTCTTTGAATTCGTATTCTTCACGAGACATCATCGTTCAAATTCTACAATTGTTCTTCTTGTACAAACTCGCTAACTTCAAGTTCCTTCACACACTTTTTTTTTTTTTTTATATAAGATTGAAACTATCATTACGATTAATTAATTAAGAAACACTGGTATGAATGATCAAATTGATAATAAAATTTGATTGATTTAAGAAGCTTACGTAATATCACATTTTCGAAAATATTCAATTTGAAATTTGTATCTCGCTATATCGTACTGAAAATAATTGGAAACTATTTAAAACGTTCAGGTGAAAAATTAACACGACAATATAGCGTATTTTGTTAGCAAAGTGTAAAAAAAACAAAAACAAAAGTAAAATGAATGGTAGAGGAAGAGAAAATGACTACTTGTAAGGGTTTAACGAAAACTTTAACACGTTGGATAAAAAGAAAATGCCCATAGGCTAAATCGATAAACAACGAAAAGCTTTAAATAAGTAGAAAAATGTTTCGCATTTTTCCAAGACATTCGTGCGGCCTAAGTTAAAAAAAAAAAAAAAAAAAANTTTTTTTTTTTTCGCTAAATTAAAAACATTTTCGATGGAAAAAAAAGGTGAAATAATATTTGACGAGCTCAATCATTTGAAATAGAGAAAAAAATCTCTCTCTTTCTCTCTCTCTCTCTCTCTCTCTCTCTCTCTTATGCTGGTAACACCTGCGTCGTATACGTTACGATTGTTGAAGCGTAACCATCATCGGATTCACAGTCGGTGGATATCACGTCCAGTGTACTATTTACACCGCACTTTATTAGCCACTGTAGTATTGTACTTCGAACGGATCTAGTCGAACCGTATAAATAACAAATAACCCTTTTCAAAAGAAAATTCAATGAAATTTGGTTTGATAAGTTGTAAAGAAAGTCAATCTTTCCTAAAATGTCAACGTTAATATTACTTTATATCGTAGCATCAAATGAGACGTTTCATCAAATGCAACGAAACGTGCACGACGTTAAGCAAACATTTACGAAAATTTCGTCAACTTTCTATTCGTTCGTAGTAGTTTGTATTTGCAATGGGTTGTGCAATTTGTACGTAGTCTGAACAATTATGTATAAAATTTTTAAACATAAATTTCTTTTACACACACACACACACACACACACATTTTTTTTACCAAATATTATCAACAAACGGATATATATTTGAACGGTTATCTTTATTTTCTTTTTCTTTTTCTATTTCTTTTGTAATAACACGAAATGAAATTCTTTAGTCCTCCCATTCCCCATTCCCATAGGCTAAAAGATGAAAAGAAGATATTCGTGAATTCGTATTCGTACACACGTTCGTAAAAATCAATTGAAAATAAATCAAAATAAAATGAACATATATATATATATATAGCTATGTCTGACGTGAACATATTATATACGAAAGAAGAAAGAATAAAAAGGGCATGGGTAGTTTCGAGTTAAAGGACAAGTGTTGAGAACACATTGTAACGTGGGAAAAATGTTTTTTCCCCCAACCATTTCTCTTCCTGATTCTTTTCTTTATCGTATCTTTCTACAAATGGTTTTGTATCGTATACTCAACGATATAAGGACCAAAAGACATTCTTGTCCAGGTACGTACGTACGTGTACTTTTAGTTTCAAACGGAAAGACAGTCGACCGACCCCATTTTACAACTCTGTGTTTACCTCGAGCTCACTTGGACGTATCACTTTGTGCGCCTTTTGATTTCGATTTCTCACCAAGATGTCTCGGAGATTTTCAAACTAGATACATTTCGTATCACTTTTCTACACGTGCTCACACACACACACACATACACACACACATTTAAGTATTTACCTAGAATAATTCGAGACAATCCATGAAACGTTAGATAATATCTTTAATATTGTGAACACCTTGAAACATTTACGAAAAAAAAAAAATAATACTATCTGTGTGTGTGTGTGTGTTAATAAGAAATAATAATATCAGCATGTCATACGTAGTATGAAAAATCTTTTGACTTTTTCTTTTTGTTAGCTTTTCCTATCATCATGATATAATGTTTCATGTTGATCTTCAAGAAAGATCGTAGAGATTAAAATTCTATTACCAAAGTGTAAGCCCATTTAATCGTTCGTCGTTTGACCAGTTTCACCAAAATTCTCCACATAATCAGAAATTCTAATATAGTCCATGAGAGATATGGTATAAATTATATCAATTTGCTTACTTGATTGGTATTCGACGTAAACTCGAATAAAAACGATACTTTACAAAAGTTTTAATTGATACCTTTTTTATTAGAAATAAATAAATAAATAAAGAAGAAGAAGAAGAAGAAGAAGAAAAAAATAATAATAATAATAAAGTAAGAAAAGAAAAAGAAAAATCGTTGAGCAGTGACTAACCCAGGAGGAGGGAGTGAGAGAAAAATCGAATCGATATATACTCGAAGTTTTTATATTTGTTAAAAATAAAATTATATATATATAGACTAGGTCTTTAAATCAACGAATTACCTTATACCGCCATCTGTTAGAATGATATAAACTATCCTATCTTTCAAGTTGGATGAAACTACATATAGTTTGCAAAATTTTATTCAAATCGGTTCAGTAGTTTAGGAGTACATTGCGCACAAACAACGTGACACGTAATTTTTATATATATATATTAAGAAGATATTCAATGAAAATAACGAAAAGCATTAATTTTATTCATTTGGCATCACTCATTTTCCCCAACGGAATAGAATTAAATGCATTGCTATCTGTCAGGGATAATCTTTCGCGTCTTCGTGAATTTTCCGAGCTCCTAAAATCTCTGAAGGCTATCTTGCCAAAATCCATAATTTTAGATTCTGCCTACGTGGTACGTGGGAATGTTACAGGGATCGTACAGTAACGGACGCGGTAGAATAATCCGGGATACTGGACCCGAAGTAATTTTAGAATTTGATGGTATCTCTATGTTAATCGAGTTCGTTATTTTCATGCAAACGAGACACCTTGCTAGTCTCGTGTGCGTACCAACCTCGTAAATAATAACGATGCGATATCAAATGCACTTGCTATCCTTCTATCAAGGACTCTCTCTCTCTCTCTCTTTCTTTCTCTCTCTTTCTTTCTCTCTCTTTCTTTATTTTACTTTTTGCTTTCATCGAGAGAAAATTCTATCGCATTTAATGCGAAATCACCGTTCATTTGTATTATCAAATACAACATCGATTTACGTCGATGGATATAAAAAAAAAATAAATAAATAAATAAATATTCCATCACAATCTCTGCGAATGATTATACTACTAGCATCGCTCGTACATGAGATATTACACACACACACACACACACACACCGAATGAAAATATTTTCAAATAAAAATATTATCTGCCCTCCTCAAAAATCGAATCATTAACCCCGTCAAATGTTGAAATAATAATTTATTTCACATACATACATTTACATACAATTTTGTTTAATACTTTTAATGTATACATATTACAAAATAATATATATCTCTAGTAAAAAAAAAAAATGATTATTTTTTTTTTTTAAATCAATTATTACGGGAAGTCTCTTTTGAATAATCATAAATCATCCCAACCCGATGTTTCCAAACTAGATATATATAGAAGGGACGCGTTTTAGGGCATGGTACCAAAACTAGCATGAAAAATCGAATTCTCCGGTGTTCGGCATCAAGAGATAAGGATCGACCCGGATGTAATTTGGGATGGATACTTCTATATCTATATCTATATGTATGTATGCATTCGGGTTCAGTAAATCCATAGGATCTCTCTCTATCTGCGACTCGGAATGTGTGTACACTTCACGCTCCAAGTGATTCATACCTTCTAACGTGGAATTGCAGTACCTTCTGACGTCGAAAATGTCGAATGAAAGAGAGAGAGAGAGAGAGAGAGAGAGAGAGAAAGAGAAGGAGGTAGAGGTGGAGAAGGAGGAGGTGAAGAAGGGAAAGGGAGAAAGGGGGGAAGGGAAAAGACGACATCGGTTTTCCCTGAGTATAGGTACACTTCAAGATCCACAAGCAATTTACGCTCCCTTTTTCGCACAACGTTCTTCCTTCTTCTTCTTCCTCCTCCCTTTTTTTTCTATTTCTTTTTTTTTTTTTTTTNAAAAAAAAAAGAAGAAAAAAGAAAGAAAAAATCTTTAAAATGTTTCTTCAAACCTATAACTCACAGTTAACAAAGGATAAAGTCGTTTATTCTTTAAAAAAATGTATAAAGCTATCTATAAAACTCTCTTGACTCGTTTTATATTCTCGATATTCACTCGTATATATACTATATATGTATATATATATGTATTTATCATCCAACTATGTAGAATATTTTTTAGTAACCTCAAGAAGAAGCAGCAGCATGTGCATTATGTGATATTCTTATCGTAATATCATTTATAAAAGTTATCAAAAATATTTGTCTTACTATCAATCAATTGATTCTATTCCTTAATTGTCAAAATCACAGATACACAAATAAAAATATATTATTTATACTATGAGTGCCCCACCACACGTTGCTGTGGCTCACAAGTCAGTCCGATACACACGTCTTTAAGTCAATTACCTTATATCGCCTTATTGCGATTATAAATTGAGATATAAATTATCCTATCTTTCAAGTTGGATAAAACTGCACACAGTGTGCACAAATTTTATTCAAATCGGTTCAGTAGTTTAAGAGTCCATTGCGAACAAACAACGTGACACGCAATTTATATAAATATTAAGATTTATATAGTTAAAAAGTTTTATCATCGAAACTTCATTCTGACAAGATAATTCAAATTAATATAACGAATATACGATAATGATTGTAAAATGTACGATAATATTGACGCAATTCGTATACGACAAAAAAAAATAAACAAAAGTGACATGGATATAATACTAGTGAATATTTTGTTCACATAAAAAGACAAAAAAAATATATATATATGTATAAATGAATAAAATAATAATGTTGATTTAAAAAGTACTCCCACTTCCACTGTTATTAGGTTTACAATCTCTGTCGACATTAGGATTTGATAATTCTATGTCAATGTGTTCGACACCATTTCCAGACACCTGCTCGCAATCCATTCTCGCGTCTTCCAAATGATCGTTCGGTATTTCCTCTATTTCTAACTGTTGTTGGTCATTTTGATTTTGATTGTAATTCGAACGCTGTAGGACACGATTTCGCGAGGATGATCGTTTTCTTGGTCTAACCTTTGAACTTTGTCCCTTGTGTTCTTGTTTAATCGATGATCTTTTTCTTTCTGGAAATGACGAGCATTCCTCGTCTTAAGGAAAAAAAAAAAAAAAAAACCAAAAGATTTGTTATAATTCAGATAACAAGATAAATAAATATCTTGATTGAATCTTAACTGACCTCGGGAATATAATGTGTTATTTGAATTAGCCGATTTATCGTATGAATTATCGTCAGAAATATCCGAATCGTAATTAGAAATCTTCTCGTAAGAATGATCGTTGTTAGATCGTGATAAATCGTTGTCCATTATTTCGGACATTTTATTATCGTTAAATTGTTTACGTCTAACCGGTAACGTCCAATTGTCATTTTCCTCGTCCCTTCTACCTGTTTTTCGCCTTTGTTTTAACTTTGATCTAACTTTTTCCTTTGGTTCTCGACATTTCCGGCGATTAGTGGATTCTCTGTTTCTACTTTCAATCCTTTTATTACGATGTGTTTGTTTGCCAGTTTGTTTTTTGCTTAAACAAAGAAATAACATCATTCGATCAAACGATCGAAATACAAGATTTTCTCAAAAAGCTTTAACGTGATATTAAATTTTGGTGGTTGAGAAAAAGAGAAAAAAAATTATTCAAGAAATATATATATATATATATATATATGAAATTTATACCTATTGGAATTTTTAATAGATCTTATAGATCTTCCCGGTGATTCGTTTGACAATTTATCGTTTAAACCATCGGTAAATTTTGTATCTTCTGTCATGGATTGTTGAACGGATATCGGATTTATGCTGAGTAAAATTTTATATCTTCCTCCTCTGTGTCGTAACAAACTAGCATTGACTGCATGTTTTAGTGCACGACGAATCTGTTAAAAGATAATATTATAACTAGATATCTTTAGTTTGATCTTTCTGTTTTTTTGTTTTTTATATATTGGTATTTTTTTTTTTTATTTTTTTTTCATTTTACCTGCATCGTAAGATTCCTAAAAGATCCATTAGAATTTTGTCGAACAAAATCAATGATGTCCCGTACGGTAGAACCTTTCTTGTCTGAAAGATTTTCAACCGCATCAAGGACAACGCTCATTAACAACGGATTCGACGGTCGTACCATAATTTTTAATTTGTTTACGTCACTTTTTTTTTTTATCAAAAAAGGATTATAATAACGAGAATCTTACGATCTTATCTTTTTTCTAAATTTTCTTTCGTATTTATCATCGAACGAACGAACGAACGAACGAACGAACATTCCTTATATATATATATATATATATATATTTCAGTATCAAATAATTATCGTTCATTCGAATGGCATCTGTTAACAATTTGTTTGTTTGTTTTTTTTTTTCTTTTTTTTGTAACTGTTAATGAAAAATTAGTTTTATTCGAAACTGTTCGAACCACGAATTTAAATAATATTTTATCCGGAAAGTCATTATAACAACGATCACCGAACCAACATTTGTTGTTTCCTCACGTTGCCTGGCATTTTAAAAAATGAAGTTGCAGTTATCTCAATCAATGACTACAACTTCGTATACTTTTACAATTTTTTTTTCTTCTTTTTTTAAATCTCATTGTAAATCATTTTTCCTTATTTCATCTGCAAATAGACAATAAATATATAAATACTTAGCTATAACTTGTAAATCGTTATTGTCATCAAATTCGAAATTTAAATTTTGACCCAAGCACGAATTAGAACTTGCTACAACTTCTAATTGGACACTTTATGTGTTTACTCGTGTATCTGTTCCGTTGTTTGTATTCAACTATATAACTCTAAGATCACCCTTGTTACATCCATGTGCAAATTGCATTTCTGTCTATACCAAATGTTTCAATAATTATTAAGTAGATGATTTGAAAAGTCATTTCGTTTTTCTTTTATAAAAATCAAGATAATTTTTGCTTCAAAATTAAACCCTAAACCTTTCAAGTGGTCATAAATGGTTGAATTTGATCAATTTAACCTCTCATTGATCTCATGTGTTATTATTTGTCGATTTGCATCAACTAATGTGCCATTATTGCTTCAGCAAAAAATGAAACGACTATCCGAACCATCTAATATTATCATTTGATATACAATATTTGATCACAAATTTTTGATTTTATGAAAAATTGGTGAGAAATACATTTGTTAATAAAAAAAAAAAAAAAAAGTAACAATAATTTTCAACGTCATCGATATTTATAAATATGAGCCTACAATATTGATGTGCAACAAATGTCTGATAATTAATATTACTGTAACGAGGTATAATTTTTTTTTTTTTTTTTTTTGTTAAAGAGAGAAAAAGTCATTTCAAAATGAAGATATTAATGGCACAAAATAAACTACATATTCACGATAATATTTTTATCTTAAGTACACTAATATATGTGCTATGGCTCACAATCAGTCCGGTATACACGTCTTTAAGTCAAAGAATTACCCTATACCGCCTTATTACGATTATAAATTCAGATATAAACTATCTTATCTTTCAAGTTGGATGAAACAGCATACAATGTGCAAAATTTTATTCAAATCGGTTTAGTAGTTTAGGAGTTCATTACGGACAAACAACGCGACACGTAATTTATACGGTGACGGCCCC